AAAATAAAAGCTATAGATTGCTACATTGCATTTAAAGAGGACTAGAATATATGGATCTACAACCTTAATCTCTACTCTTTTCTTCAAGGACCTCAAGAAAAGAGAGTGTTGCTTAATCTAGTACCTTCTTATTTTTTTTAAATACAATACTGAGTGTTCAGTTTTGGTCACCACACACAACATTAGTCTAAGTTAAGTTTCTTTAATCTCCTTTACAGTGCTTTACATAAAGGACAATATACTGTATATGCAGCATTTTCCTTTATTTTACAATCCACGCTTTGGTGCTGTCTTCTTTAGCTTTTGAGCGGTGCTTTAGAGAGTTACTGTATGTGTAAGAGCTGTAAAAGGTGTTTGTAACAAGTAGAAACCCAAGTCCAGGAAGCCAGAGCCAAACTTATTTGTCATATTTGATCTGTTTTAACACAGCTCACTCATTGCAATAATGAGAAAATCCTCAAAGAACTCCAAAGGACCTCTCAAGGCTGAACCTGCACCTGGTAAGTTTGGGATCTCGCTCTTTTGAGACTGGGGTAGCAGCAGACATGCCGCAAAGCCTTGGGTGCTGTATTTTCCGTGTGCCCCTCTCTGCGGTCTCAGCCCTCAGCAATTTTAATGATGTGGCTTGTGTCCTGTGTCCTTTGTGAAGTGAGCGGGCCAGTGGATGATGTGAAGGTGAAAGCAGTAAATGAGATGATGGAGAGGATTAAGCATGGGGTTGTGTTGAGACCTGTCAAGGGACAAGACACCAAGGTGAGAAAGAACTACTTGCTGTAAGGTGGCATGGTGAATCACAATAATTTATAATCTTTTGTTTGACTTATGACCAAAGTAGGAACTTTCTGGCATTACTTCAAGCCCAATAAAATAACAGAAAAATACAGTTTTGAAGATACAACTGCTTTATGAAAGGTTATACGTATGTAGCAGATTGACAGGATTATGTAAGCTTGGCATGTGCTGTATTTAAGAAGATGGTCATGTGAGTGGTCAAAAATATTAGAACAATACAAAGAACCTTTTTATATATCAGATATATAATTTATCTGCATATTTCATTCCAAATAATTTCTTCTAGGTGCAGATACCATATACTTCTTTTCAGTACAATCAGCTCGCTTGTTATAAAATGCTTGTAATTTAGTAGCTGCCTGTGATTATGTTGTGTAGTGACATGATTTTTGTTAAACGACCCTGTGCTTTATTTATCAATTGAAATTGCAATCCATGACATTTTGGAGTTAAGTCTTTTTTATTACAAAATGTGTGTTTGTGTTTATAGCTTTAATGTTTATGTCCTACTATATTCCCTTTTCACTTTTTTATGTGTTTCATGGCGGACATTATCCATGAAGAGATTTGGTCCTAAGGTAGGGAAAATAAATATCTTTTAAATGGTGACTGAAAGAAAACATTGAATTTCTACTGTTTACTTTAGACAGTAGTTTTCTTTCTTTATCAATTGTGTCAGTTTTGCTGGCAGCATTTTATTTTATCTGGATATAGAAGTTCATTTCTATGTCACAATAAACTAACCTGACTTGAAATTACTCTCAGTATGTAAATAAACATATTCTTTCCAGTCTCCACACACAAACTATATTCATTAGGTAAACAATTGTATCTATAAGCCAGATTTTATAGGAACAGAAACAGATTTTTAAATGCAATGCCATTATATGTTTTATTGATTAACTTTAAAGCACCATGACAACAAACCATCTTGGAAAGGCCATAAAAAAATCAATGTGGTATTTGTAAAATGGCCTTGAGATCCAATTCTTGGCTCCTATGTGGCTCCTATTAGGTTAAAATATGAGATTCCAGTTTTTTTCCACATATGATTAATGTTAAAGAAATTAGTTCTTCAGTACTAGCATTTGTCTTAAAAAAAACTTAAAAGATTATTTGACAAAGCTACCTTTTTAAGAGGAATTAGCAGGTTTGCAGTGTTACTAGCTTCAAAGTAGCTGCAGTCACCTTTTATTAAACTGAGGTCAAGACATCTGGAGGGGTCAGAATGTGGTTTTATGGGGTCATGGAGAGACCACAAATCTTTTTGTCTCTTGTGAGCTTTGACAAATAAATCAAATGCACAGCAATATTCTTCCTGGGAAAAAATGTTTTTAAAGACAATTTCTAAATATTGTGGTATGGGATTGTATTGTTTTCTAAAAACGTTTTCTTACAACAGTTCTCCTTTTTTCTGCCAGCAGCCCCAGCCACCTGAAGAGAAACAACAGGAGAGTGCCATGGAGGAACTGAAGGGCATTTTGGTAGATTTTCTGTTTCATTACATGTTTTTTTTTTCCTTTCCTCTGGGACTCTACCAAGAGACATACACTATGTACATGTATACTTTTTATAGTATAAAGACAGTATGTTTAAGACCCACCAAAGGTTTAGTTAAAATGTGGGAAACAAAAACCCAGTTTCAGAAGTAGACCTAACATACTGTAAAGGAACAAGTAATGGGTTTATTCTATGCTGAAAAGAGAGGAGAGAAAACACAACGTTTCGGCTGTGAAGCCTTCTTCAGGTCTGAGCCCTCACTACGCTGATGCAAGCTACCCACCTGGACTAACATACTGTATACATTTCTATTCATCCTGATTTTAGGTTAGCATTTTTTAGCTCCTACTCCATTCCTTAGACTCCAACCTTCAATGAAAATCCAAAACATGCAATGGAGATTTACTATTGTAAATATATTTTTTATTCTACAATGGAAATGCACCCAGTAATGGCCGTCAAGAGAAACATTGATGTTTCCCTGTGGTACTGTACATGCCATTCAACAAATAGCCCTCAAATTCTGGTTACACCTAAAGCAGAATGGCCCACACTCCGTCCAGTACACAGGTCTGCAGAGCCAGGAGTCAAGCTTTACCTCAGCCCCTCATGTCCAGCAGAATGAGAGATTCGTCAAGCCGAGTCACTGGGACATCACAGAGCTGCTGAACCACACAAGAGGAGGTAGCTTCCTCATCTAAACAGAGTCTGCTTCAGAGGCCAATTAGTAACTGGAAGAGAGCGAATCAAATCACTTACCAAACTGGAGTACTACATATAGGGGAAATATAAGACCCAAACCTGTGATGGATACTGACAATGTATTTGATCACTGATTGCAGTCTAGAGGTCATCACAAACATGGGAACGTAGAGATGTGGTCTGTGTGAATTGGGGCATTGAAACAAAATATCAGTTAGCACTGTACTGTTTGAAATACAGCACATTCTTTCAGCATTTCAGCAGCCAGGGACCTGACTTCACATACAGCCCCTGAGCAGAGCTAGGGTAGTCTAGATCTACAGCATATTACTTAATAAGCCACAACATTAAAAACACCAGGTGGGAAAGACCCACAAATATAACACAAAGTACTTCTGCTACTAATGGTTGTTACGCCAACAACGATGTTGAAAGTTTCATTTTCTAACTGTGTACTTTCGCTGTTAAAAAAACACTTCTTTATGTTTTTGACATAATAGGACAATGTTAAGAAGAGCCCTAGCAGGGGGTTTCCTGAAGTAGCTCCTGGTAAGAAGGACAGTGAACTGGAAGTGATTCTGAGGAGGCGACGGAAACAAGCCTGTGACCCTGAGACAGGAGGTGACTTTCTTGGTTAACACACAGACAGCTGCGTCCCTGTGATACAGTAACCTCAAATTCCACTGATGGACATGGATTTCAGTTTTCTAGTTTCAGTATCCTACTTTAAAGATATATATTTATTTAATGTATGACATCCTTCTATTTTTTTCTTTGGTGAGGTTTTTTATGGGAAACAGATTATTTAGCAGTTCTTAATGTTGCCACTAGATGACGTTATCTACCTTATCCAAGTACTTGTTTAAGCTAAGGATCCTTTAGATGGTGGATTTTAACAGGAGGAATCGAGGAATACAACTTGCTGAGCATTTTAGCTCTGATTAATACATATTATTATTTTGATAATTCTAATAATGTCAAATATAGCTGTTTTGTTTTCTTTAGGTTGCATTTTCACTTTGTTTTAGTGTTCAGTAAAAATTGTTTACTCAGTATTCATGATTGTGTGCATTCAGTTTAACATTTCCGGCAATAATGTTCCATTTCAAGCATGAAAGTTTCCCTTTAAACTCTGAACAAGTCTTTTTTCAGAAATGGGCAGAAATGCACTTGATTTTTTAATTTGGTTTTACTGCATACTTTCGAGGTTTTCTTATTCATCAATATTTTGTTCTGTCACATCCCAGGAGACCCCGTAATGATTAAAGGCAGCTATCACAGCTTCCCAGCAATGAGCTACTAGAAATGATTACAGGATGCCAGTCGTCTATCACGATTCTAAATGCTCATTTTGTTTTCTCTGACAGATGACAAGGAGAGTGAAATGAGCAAGGTCTCCTCTTCTGAAAGCTTGAATGCCAGGCACAGTTCAGATTCTGGCAAGGAGCCTATTGCATCCTGCAATGAGGGCAGTGTGCACAGCTCTCGGGCTGACAGGGGCACAGGAGAAGTGGTGGCTAATGGCTGCTATGGCAGGTAATTGCCTTGACCTCTCCGTCGTATACGACACATTGTTAAACTGTAAGCATCTTGACTTTTAATTCTCCAGCTGCTCCTTTTGTGTTCTGTTTAGCAACTGAACACTGAACTGAGCAGTCACATTCTCAAATTTTTGCTAAATTGGCACTGTCCGAACGCCAAGTAGCTCTGTAGTAGAAGAAAGACACTCTGTCTGCACACATGCACTGAAAAAGAAAGGACATAATAAATCCTGTTGCAATTATATTTGTGGTGCACAACATCCCGTCATTTCTTAATTTAGCCCTCTTTGAATCCACTAGCAGGTGGATGTGCCCATTTCTATCAAATTTTGCGAAAGTGTTCCTATTCCTGAAAAGCAGACATCCTCACAATGGAAAACACCTTCAGTTAAACTTAAAAGTATCCAAACTAACTACCCCTTACAGGTTTATGCACCACGACTTGAATGCAATTATGGGTTTGTTTGTTTTTGGAAGTTAAAAAGAATGCTTTTGTTACTTGTGATCTACAGTGGTGAGGACAATGAGAAGAAATCAGCAACTAAGTGCGCACAACCTAACGGATTTAGCCATGCTCTTCCAAACCGTGATAAGCATGGCATCCAGACTGCAGGCTCTCCGGATGGCCCCCTCCCTGTGAATGGTAGCACTGATGCTGAGTGTTAACCTCAGCAACAGGGCACAGGCAAATGGCTGGGGTAGGGGGAGTTGGGGTGACAGCTGCACAATTTGCACACCATTTAAAGAACAAAGGTTTTTTTGTATGTTTAGATAACATGATTTCAAAGCTTTAGGTTCACTAGATGTTTTTAGATGCACATGCTGTCTGCTAGCGGGGGTTGGTGTCTGCTTAAGGAATGCACTGTTGTTTGGTATGTAATGGATGATATTAAGTTGTTTTGTCTCTCAATCTTTTATTAGACTAAGGCACCGAAAAGCAGGAGAGCTCAAAATTAGGTCTTCAAATGAGTACCCAAGCCACACTAAATTATCTTATACTGTAGTTCCATGAATTTGTAAAAGATAGGGTTGAATCCCTATTGTTCTTACTGTAGGTTTCCCGTTTTGAAAGTTTTGACTTATAATCATATTTTTGTGTTAACTTATTAATGCTTTATTGGAAATCAGGATTTGCTTCATATAAGAAAAAAAAACACAAACACGTTTTACTTTCAAACTTAATTTATTCTTTAACTCAGTAGTTAAGGTGTCCACATTCCACTTAAATGCACTGCCTGACATTTAAACAAAATAAAAAAAAGTCACACAATTATATGGTGAACTATGCTAAATTATATGCAATGCTAACTTTTGTGCACAGATGTCAACAAAACAGTAATATACATAAAAGGTTTGCAGTCCTGTCGATATTTTTGGGACAGCTTTGTCAGATAAGTTTAAGTGTCTTCTGCCTACCTCCTTGCAAGAGAATTCACTTGCTTGTCAATCCAAAAATTGTAAACCAGAATGAAAACACTAAAGGCTAAGGAAACACAAATGCTAAAAATGTCTTCCACATTTCACCAAAGAGGTAGTTGTACTGCTTTGGTTACATAATATTCCAGAGGTTCAGCACACTTTAAGTGCTGTGAGTTCCCTCTGTTCTAGATACAAGGTGCTACTGTATATATTCCAGTTCCATTATCGTTTCATTGCTGGAGTATGGCTACATGTAGCAGGCCCACCAATACAATCTGGAAGCAAGAGTATCCCACCAAGACCTATGCTATGCACAGAGGTAAAGTCTAAATAGCTCTATGTGTTCAACAAGAAAAAGCCTTTAAGTCTGTATTGCACTATTAGTTTTTAGGTAATTGTTCTCATAATTCAAATCAGACACCTCTAAAAAGATTTCATAAGTGAAAGTCTGAAATACTTTTTTTTCACTACAACAAATTAAGCCTGAAGACACCACATTGACAAATGAAACTTCACCTGTGCTCTCTCAGTGCTTATGCAGGTTATTAGTGAATCGCAGCTGTTAAAATGCTCCCATTGAACAAAACACCAAATATACCCTTTAGAGTTTATGCATACTCACCTGTTTAACTGAATATATAGAGGTTGCTGTACTCTCTTATCATTCATGAATTTGACTACTGAGGAGTTGCTGTGTAGATGTTTTTTTTTTCTATAGTCCCTTTTTTGGAGGGTACTGAATTTTAAGTTCAAGTAAATAATTTCAAATCAAGAACTAATTTCTAGTAAAACAAGATAAAATCTCCTAAAAGTTGCTCCCTAGAGACCATAAATATTGTCAGCCTCCCTTTCAGGTAGTCCAAGTTCTAAAGTACTGTTAACATTTTGAAGTAAGCCTATGTCTATTCATTATGTGGCCAGATGTTAATGGAACAGTAGACTTACTATTACATTTAACCACAGTATAATGTATTGCACCTGAATGTTCACCTTTTTGTTGCCATCTAATGTTCTGTAACACTGTATGGTAGTGGTTTGTGTGAATATGGGTTTGCTGGCTCCAGATTACAGTGTACACTTGAGATGTAAAGACTTGCAATGTGGTATCATCCTATTCTTAGGTTTCTAAAACTCTTCACCGCTTTCCATTATTCATATAAGTTTTTTTAAAAATTTGCAACAAATAAAGTTTTGGCAATTTGAGTGCTCGTCTTCTGTTTTCATTACTTCTGCTTTATTATTTCTGTAAGGCTATTTATTTTCAAATGACTTTGTCTCAGGGGAAAAAATAGTGTTCATCTTTTATCAGAATGTTGGAATAATAAAATACAGCTACCATTTTTTATAACAAAGACTACATCATTGGACTTTGCTTTCATTCCAGAGCCTAGAGAAAAATAAATTTAATAAATTGTAGCTGTATTGCACCATTTTTGAAAGCGATAAAAAATCAAGTTATACAGGAAACATAAAGGAGAAGCATCGTGGGTTTGACCGTGTTAGGATTCCAGATACTGTACTGAATGTATAGGACTACAGTACATGTGTTTATACAAAAATGTGTCAGAATTATTCTTACTTATAAAGAAAAACAAATATATATGTGAGCAATTCACTTTAGTGAAATAACATTAAATATTTTTTCCAAAATATTGGTCGACAGCACATATTTTTTCCATAACTCACGCTGTAGATAAAGATAATTAAGTTTAAGACTGTTGTGTCGCATGACCTTTTTTTAACCTGTTTGGGTTTCATGAAAATACCAGAAATTCGTTTGGTAACATTCGATACCATGATAAGCACATATTCAGATTTTTCTTTTTGCTATATTTATGATATTTTGCTTATCCTCCAAATTAAACAATCAAAACGTTTTAACTGATGCTTAGCAAGTTTATTTGGGTAAAAAACAGGGTTTTGCATGATTTCTGCACAGTCTTAGCAAAGATAAATCAGACGAATACAAAGATGGAATTTTTAAGGCAATAGTTTTATTTATACTGTCTTGATAAAAATTAAATTAAAAACATTTTTAGATGAAAAGGCTTGGCTGAGACATTGCTTGTTCTTATACTGCTCGTCGGCTGTGACATCACAAGGAACCTATGCAGAAAGTAACAACCGCCCTTTTCTAAATCGTATCACGCATCAGAGAAGCAAATGGAGGTAGCATTTAATGTAAAAAAAAAACCTATGTAACAATTGTAAACTTGAATAACTGTTAAATAAAAAAGCAAAAGCGAGTTGCGAAACCATTCAAACCCTGACTACCGCAGCTAGCTTTCGAGACTGTGCTAGGTGTTGTAGACGACACATAACAGACCTGTTCTAGAAGAGCTGTGTAACGTAACTGAAAAAGTAAATTTTGTGCAAACCTACAATCTGCCGCAAAGATGCAAAACGCAACAACTAATATAAAAGGTAAATTCGTTTTCCGGTGCCGTATGCGACTCCATATCCGCCCTCAAAGCTGTACACCGGAACTTCACCAATCCCACAATGCACCACGTCGCTGGGAAAGGAAGATCAAATCTCTTCCGGCGCACTTAAAACATGGCGTCTCAGTACTACCAAGATATGCAGGAGAGCTTCAGAAATAACAACAAGAGTCGAGAGTTCCCGGCGCACAGCGCTAAGGTTCACTCGGTCGCATGGAGCTGCGATGGCAGGAGGTTAGCATCTGGGTCATTCGATAAAACCGCCAGTGTGTTTGTTCTGGAAAAAGACCGCCTGGTAAGTGAGGGCTTGTTTTCGAACATTGCCCCCATCCTTTTATTTATTTGGAAGAATGCCATCTGTTTACTTGCTTTTAGCATCTTAAAAGACTTGATTTACAACTTCAGTAATGGAATTTTTTATTATCTTAAGTTACTAAATTAACGAATATATTTACAAATGAATGAACCTACGTGTCATGTCACCGTTGAAAGGCAGATGGCGTAGGTGCATTACGTCTGAATTCTGTCTGGTCGACTCTGAATTGATATTTCGTACAATTACGGTAGATGAAATATGAATTATATTGTATTAATTGGCTCTAAGGTACTACACCTAGTGAAAATAGTGCCAATGCTATTATCATTATTATTATTACATTATTACGTGAAAAGAAAATCATTACACATCAAAAGTCTGAGCTCTGCATCTAAAAGTTCCATTATCGATAGCTCCGCTCATCTGTATTCGGTGTAGGTTTGCAATGTCCTAAAGTAAAATGTTTATCACGAATAAAGTGCCATTTTATCTAGATATGTGTGTTAACATTCTTAAGTGGATGTATCCGTGACAATTCTGAAAAATGTGAAGATGGATCTCTTTGATAGCTGACTTTAATCTGTTTTCAGGTGAAGGAGAATAACTATCGAGGTCATGGAGACAGTGTGGACCAGCTATGTTGGCACCCTACCAACCCAGATCTCTTTGTCACTGCTTCTGGGGACAAGACAATACGCATCTGGGATGTTCGGACTACAAAGTGCATCGCGACTGTCAATACTAAAGGTTCAGAACAATATGTGTTTTGTTCAGAGACTCATTGATAAAAACACGCTGAAATGTGTATATACAATTCCTTGCATTTACATTGCTCTTTTAATCTCAAACGATCTAGAAATGGACCCACTTCATCTACTGCTCTAGTGAAACACTAATCTGGGTATGCACTGTTGTCCTGCTGCAGTGTAGATCATTGAGAAACTACCTCACCTATTGAGGAGGAAATTCTAGGAGGTTGGACTGGGCAAACTGGGCAGTGACATTACTGGAACAGTCTCATCTTACACTATCATACACCTGTTACATTTACTGATTTTTGTTTGCTGTTGACATAATCGGAGTAAACATTATCTCTATTGGAGGCATTAACTAACACGGGTGATTGAGAAATTACTGTAATTTTCTGAACCAACCTTTAGCCTTAGTTTGAAAGAATACATGAAACCATAATGTAAAGTTCAAATATAAAAAAGCATCTTTTTGTGTATTTTTTGTTAATTGAATATTCGAGCAAAAGTGGATTTGTCCCATGATAAAAATGTTTGTTGGTCACTGTTGTTAATGGCAGTCTGGCTGATTGCTCATGTGCTCTTTCTGTGGCTAGGGGAGAACATCAACATCTGTTGGAGCCCTGATGGCCAGACAATTGCAGTTGGCAACAAGGATGATGTTGTGACCTTTATTGATGCGAAAACCCATCGTTCCCGGGCAGAGGAACAATTTAAGTTTGAAGTGAATGAGATCTCTTGGAACAACGATAATGATATGTTCTTCTTGACGAATGGTAACGGCTGCATCAACATTCTTAGGTAAGGGAAAGCAATCTTTCTGTTCGTCAAAGTGATGAATTGTCTTTAATACAGATGTTTGAAAAAGCATAGGCCACTACAGTGTTTGTGTTTTAGCACATAGACATATATTCACAAATCATTTCCCACAGATACTGTTATTTTTTGCTATAATTGGTCATGTATATTGTAAATGTATAGCATTTATACAGTTAAGCATATACACTATAATTGGCTGCATATCAGATTTAGTTTTTAGGACAAGTGTAAGTAATAGTATTTTTTTATTAACTCCCTGTGAATGAAGGTCACAGAATGATTGGGATGTGCAATTAGTGAATCTTTTTAACACCTTTACTAGTGATGATTATAGTGAGTTCTTCTGTTTCAGTTACCCAGAGCTAAAGCCAATCCAGTCGATCAATGCTCATCCTTCAAATTGTATCTGCATAAAGTTTGACCCTACTGGCAAGTACTTTGCGACAGGGAGTGCGGATGCACTTGTTAGCCTGTGGGATGTGGAAGAGCTGGTTTGTGTCCGCTGCTTTTCCAGGTGAGTCCATACCTGCATGAACCCTGACTAATTCCAATTTTCTGGTTATAATGTAGTTCCAGTTGAACTCTTAGTATTTTCCTATATGGGGTGATATTATATGTATGAACATCTATTCTGATGTTTTGAGAAGAAAATATTCTGTTTGTACTATGCATATTATATATTGACTATTCTTATAGCCATAAAAAGGACCCATAATACAACAATACATCTGTTCTAGATTCTCCATTGGTATAGTGCCTTCATGTAGGTGTTTAGAAGTAATTATTACAGAAATAAGATTTCTTTAACAGCAGGTTAGGCCTCTGTGTGATATAATTTTTGTGTGACATTTAATTGCAGTTCCTGCTGATCACGCTGAAATGATTGTGATCTGAATTGAGTCTGTGATGCATAAGATGAATGTTAGAATTATTCCTTATGTTATAGAGGACCTGCTGTGTCTTCAATATATTCCATACTGATTGATTAACCTTTTTTTTTCTGAGGCTTGACTGGCCTGTTAGGACACTGAGTTTTAGTCATGATGGGAAAATGCTAGCCTCAGCATCAGAGGACCACTTCATTGACATTGCTGAGGTGGAGACAGGTAAGCATCTCTGACCTGAAAACCTAAGTAATAATATGTGCCAAAGTGGAAAAAGAAAATGCACTTTTGTAATTTTGTATTGCACTAATGTATGGCATTGTGAAATTCAGTTTTAGAAATGCATTGATTTGTCAGATTTCCTACTTTCAACAAGGTTTTTTTCCATTAATATCTTTACAAGGCATGACATAAGCTTCTATTCTAGTACTTACTTTATTTGACCTGAAAATCACCAGTTAGTGAGATGTTCTGTCTTGCACGTTTCATGCAGAGAACTTGCCACACACAATCAAGATTTGTTTTCCTTTTCCAAGGCTATATTTAGATGGCCTAGTCATCCCTTTTCATCAAGGGTTCACACAATATATAACAGTGAACATCTACCTTAGTGAAAATAGACTTTGACATAAGCCGCACTTTATGTAGAATTCTTATTCGACTCCTAGATAACCTAGCCAAGTTAATTGCCAAAGTTAAAACCAAAAACGGTTTGGTTAACTAACTGAACTAGTGTGAGGGAGAAGATGACTGCTATGTGTTCTTGGTATGAGGACATGTTTTGTCAATCAGTAATGAAAAGTATGGTTTCTGTGAGGATCAGCTCTCCCAGTGTGACCCCACACCTTCCTTAAAATTCTGGATAATATACAGTTTCATAGAATAATGCTTTTCATACCGGGGAACCTACATTTCTATTGGTGTTTTCAAGCACTACTGCCACACTATAAAAAGTTGTAAAGTTTTGTTCCTAACTGAACCTACAAGTAGATATAGATGTGCTGCAGACACCGTGGTGCTGTGTTATAGGAAATTATGCCTGACTATGTGCCAGGCAGATCTGAAAACCTATTGTAGAGATGTGGAAAGGTGCAAAACATGATTAAATTTATGAAAGAATTTCCATTGTATGAGCTGGCTGGAGGACTGTGGGCAGTTAATGCTACAAAACAAGGTGATATGTGTTGCACACCTGCCTGTCCATTAGTAAATACTACTAGAACTTTTGAAATATCCCAGAGTGATAAGAACTGAAGAACATTGCATAGATTGCAGTCTTTCTTTATCACCAAAACAATTTGCTGGCAGAACAGACTGTTTGTCAATCAGTAATGAACAGTTTGCTTTCCATTAGGATGGTTTTCAGGTCTTTCCGCCCAGCTAGCCGAATGAGGGAGAGCTGTCATCTTAAAAAAAAAAAAAATCTCTAATGAAGGCCGTGCTAGATTTATAGTTATCGAGAGAGTAAGCACAATTTTATGATGCAGTGCAATCCTGCTGTGGTTGCATAATTAGTTTTTTTTGCTTTTCTGAATAATTTGACAGGAGAGAAATTATGGGAGGTGCAGTGTGAGTCGCCAACATTCACAGTTGCTTGGCATCCCAAAAGGCCCCTGCTGGCATATGCGTGTGATGACAAGGATGGAAAATATGACAGTAACCGTGAGGCAGGCACTGTCAAGCTCTTCGGGCTGCCCAATGACTCCTGAGGCGAGACAACCAAACCAGTATGGTGATCTGGACTTTGTTTTTTATGTTTTAATGATATTTTCATAAATCATAGCACTGCCTGTAAGCCATTGCCTGAAACCGTCTGTTCAGATTGTGCTGAGGACGCAGTCCCATTTGCAGGAATGGCATCTTATCAACCCCTAACAGCCACACACCCGTAATAACCATTAAATTAGTCTTTAGTTTTTTACACCTATATGTATGATCGCCCACAACTTTTCAGAACGTCTGATTTTCATGTATTGGGTGAGTAAATGGGTTTTTCTGATATTTTTCTATTTTTAGTGGGTCTTTGATGTGTTTTTGTCTGAATCTGTCTGTTTTCTCTAATAGGTAGCAGTTTTTCATTTTCACCTACCCTGTGTGGGCTATGTTTTCTGTACCTGGAAAAGCAAAGCTTTTCAACACAACTCAATGACTGCTTTATTTCTCAAAGAAAATGGTCAAAAGTGTCAGTACTGATAAACACATTGTGTAATACTGAATTACTTTTAGTAGCTGTCACTGATATGTTTTAATAAATGAAGGCAAAAGGAAAATAAGGTTGTGATATTTCATACTTAGGGACATGAAATGTTTCTTAGAAGGAACTTTTAAACTTGGACTGGCTGTATTTTCAAACTGATTTTGCTAATGTAAAGCAAGGCTTCATAAGTCAGTTTTGTAATGTCCATAAAATTGATACCGACTTCAGATGTGTAGGAAAGTTAAATTTATCTAATTAAGCCTTAATTGAGTGAGTGTTGCAAAACAATACCTCTGTAAGAAGCATTTTGAAAATCTACAAAATCCAGTGGACCACTGTCCTTTTGGACAAATTGTCATGGTTTTATGGAAAAAGTGGTATACCAACCATCAACAGGAATGGGCAGGATCTGGTTCATCAAGCCATCTTGAAGACAAATGGGCAAGATTTTGTATTCCAACACAAAAACTATCCCAAGAAAGTAGTGTGGGGAAAAATACTTGAACATCAACAGGCTTATCGAACGCTAGCATTCCTTTTCCTTATTTGAACATAATTTACTCTGTATGGGGTTATGTGGATAATTACTGTAGGTTGTAAAAATATTTACATTTGTCATGTGGAAAATGTTACAGGATATTTTCAGCAACATTCTACATTAAGTATTAATGTAGTGAATTTTGCTTAGTTCTGAATACTTATTGTGACACCTGCTTCCTCCCAAGACAGTTTAATTATTTTCATTACTGTATTATGATCTTTGTTGCCATGCAGCAAAATTTTATTTTTTAGAAGTAACTTGAATAAAGAATATACAATCAAAACTGTCTAGACTCTTTTTTTGTTTTCTGCTGCCATGAGGTTAAATGTCATCTAGAAGTCCAAAGATGGTTCTCTTTTTTCAAGGTTAGACAGGGTAATTGCACCAGAGGACAGTGCTTCTCGAAAACAGGATAAATACAAACAAACAAATTCAACATCAATATTAATTGATGGGAGATGGATGAAGGCCCTGTCCCAAACCATACAAAGTCCTCTGAAACTGCAAGGCAGTGAGTCTTTATCGGTCATCCTTGGGTTCATGGAAGGTGGCCATCCTCCACATGGGCATCAGACACTGAATTAGATTATTGAAATCAAGGGGCAGTGTAAGATTTATTTTTATTTAAGAAGACATAGCGAGAATGAAACTGGCTCAAGCTTTTTAACGTGTTTTTTTTTGTAACCAGTAGGTGGCTCTCTTATTCCACACAAGCTTTTGACAAGTCAGCTGCTGTTTTTTTTTGCATTGCGCATGAATATTTTATTCTGTAGTGAACTATGTGTTGTATATTTTGGTTACAGCACATTAAATTTGCAGGACCATTAAAAAGTTAAACAGTGTATTCTTTATATATCAAGGGTTCTAGCTTCCAGTGGGTGATTTGACAGCATTGCCTTTCTTGAAGTCATGGTAATAGATTATTTACTTGCTTTCTTCTTGAATGTATAGAATTGTTTGTATTAGTTGTAAAATAATCGTGACCTAAAATATGAGCACAGGCTCCCAACACAGAACATGTCTAATTCTTAAATGTTGAGTGGGAAAAAATGTTTATTTTGAACTAAATTTTAAAGTTCTTCATGATGTTACTTGAGAGTCAATTACTGCTTAATGCACTTCGAAGATTGTTTTCTCCAAGGACCTAACCTGATCTTTCCAGAAAAACTAAAGCTCTCTCTTTAATTTGGAAATGCTGCATGTTCTAGGATCTCTACAAACCTTCATGTAAAAAAAAAGACAAAATCAAGTGGTAGATCCACTGTTAAGTGTGACATTAGTTCCTTATCATTGGGGTTTGATTGCTGACTGGAGTCATCTTTCTGTTTTTCTACCTGGTTATGCCACCCTTTTTTGTAACATGGTACAGTATATTCATTTTATATTGACAAAGTTTTATACATTTCTTATTTTTAACGGTGAGGTGCTAAATGAATTACATTGTTTCTTTTATTTAATGTTTTACCATACTTTTTATAACTGCCTAGATTGTTTACATTCTGTGAACCCCTGAATAAGTCTTAAATCAGGCAGGTTCATCTTTAATTCTGCTAGTTTTTAGGCCAGGGTACAAATCCACTGATTGCTAGGAAATGGACCTCAGTGGTCCCTTGGATTTATTGCAGCTTCAGAACAAAAAAAACATTCATTGCGTTTCCCTTTCAAATGAACGAAATGAAGATCTTTGTACTTTGACTGACCTGTCTGTGGGAGATCAGAGAGCACTTGGATTTGTGTTTGTATCAGGTGATGGTGTATGGGAAGGGAGAAAAGTATGGTAGGTATCTTAAGTATGATGTCAAGAGCATCACTTAATAACCAACTTGGGCAGTTCATCTGGGGCCAGTAAAAAGGGAGCATTCACAACAATTCACTCAACCCTGGATTCACATGAGCTAATTGAAATGATGCTTCTTAGAAAATCAGGTGAAGAGAAAAATTAAATCAGAGAATTGTCTCAAACTGCATAGTGAATCGCAAATGCAGAAACTCGGGATCATTGCTATTTGTGGATTTGTTTCTTTCTGCTGTTTCACAGTAAATCTTGGGATAATAAATAATGGGAGATACATTACAGGCAGGAAATGGAGGAGATATGGCGTTGTATGCTGCAGCACTGCATGTTTTATTTCTTGGATAGGGCCAGAAGGATTAAGGGCACATCAGATTACTGATTTTCTATGGGGAAATCCAAGTAAAGGAACTCTTATCTGAAGAGTAATCGCACCACACAGGAGCAAGAATCTGTGCCATTCCTGTTGTCAACCATTGACAAGTATCTTTGGTAAGTAGATGTTTTTCCTTGTCTTTCTTTAGTCATAAGAGTTCGTCTTAGATTGGAAGTGTATGTGCATTTGTTCATGATATTCCCTTTCTATGTTTGTTCAAAGAACGCAGATAACATTAATGTGGTGAATCTTATATGGTATCTGTTACAAAGAGAATTGGAGCACATGGGTATAAAGTCTTTAAAAGGAATATTGGGACCACTTTGAAAGGTTTTAACAACTTAAACAGTAATTATGCATCCAAAGGCAGAGAAACATTCCTATTACAAAACTGCATAACTGAAGTGCATACATGATGTTTTCTTGAACTCTTCTTTCAAATAACGGGGGGGTGTGACCCTACAGAAACATGCCAGATGAATCACACACACTGCTTGTAAAGTTGTCCCCTGAAACCACAAAGAGAGGCAGGTAGGAGTTCTGACAAGGAAACTGCAATGTCTACTTTGGACCCTGGGCTATTGTCATGAGCTTTCCTGTCAGTTTCTGTGACAACCGGTGATGAGACGTTCCCTTTACTCAGTTGTGTTCCCGTGCACTCCTGTGCATTACCTGAAGCAAAGCTACAATGGAAAGTTGTACATCATTTAAAATTCAGAGGAATGTCCATAGACAATGCTCAAGGGAAACAAGGGTCATGAGGAGTAGCTTCTGGGGAATTCGTAACATAGGATACATAAAATGCACAATATAACTAAGAAGATATCTAAGAAGATGAAACATTTAAAATATCTATGGCATTGATATTTATTCATTTGTATGCATTTTATTCTACAAAGGCTATCAAGATGTCTTCACTACAGAGTGCTATGACCTTTCTTAAACCACAAGAATGTTTCCCCGTAATTTATTTTATTAAATGTAAAAATGCAGAAAATTGGTGCCCACTTAAAGTACATACGATATTGCATTCAAAACAGTATCTACAAATGTGCTGCCTGCTGTCTTTCTCCTGAACAAAACTGTTGATAAATGTGGCATTTAACTCATTTTCTTTTGGGAATTTTCAAAATGTTTAGCTAATGTTTAGTCTGACTCATTTCCAGATACTCTATGTACTGGAAACACTATGTACTTGAAAACAAACATAATTTCAATTTCCTATTATTAACCAATGCACATTTGCAAAAATGACAAATTTTCAATACTGAAAATTGTTCAGTAAGTCAATTGCCTTACTGAAAAAGCTCCTATTCATGGCAAATTGTCTATGGCCTATATTGAAGGTTGAAACAGAAAATATTTAATGTTCTTTACCTGGCGGTATAGATTTCATTTTTAACTTCTTATTTGGTATTTGCCAAATATTTTTTTGTTACATACCTACACTGATATTGCTATGATTGTTACAGACTTGGTCTTATAGCTAAGGATCACACAATGAGAATGCGGATCGACAGACATAACCCTGTGACATGCCCCCCAGTCATTCATTAATCTTTAAACATGATGTTAGATCTACTGCTCCTTGTAAGAGATTTACCACCAGCTGGAGGAATATTCCACAAAAAAATTGGTCAGATATTGGTCAAAACACAGCTTACTAGAAAACCTAATGGCTTTAAGGCAGTTATAGAACATTGAAATTGCTCTGTCCATCAATGGAATTTGCAGTTACAACACGGTTGTAAAAATGTGGTAAATCATAAAATCACTTACTGTAAATTAAAAAAAAGAAAGGGCTTTGTACTTGTAGCTTGTATTTGATAGTCTGAACAATGAGACAAACCTCTACAAGAATTTAAACCCAGAACTCCTTTTTTAATTAGTTCCCAGTATAATTAATATGAAGAAAGGAAGAAACGTGGATCAATCGCTCAGTCATTTAAGGAAATCTAGCCTTTAACCGATTAAATCAAATTAACCAATTATTTCAGTTGATAGAAGAAGAGATTTGTAGATCTCAGAAGAAGGCACTTTTATGTCTGAGAATCTTTAGTTAAGAAGCCATCTAAAATGACAATGGAACAGGGAGCAAACAAGAAAAGGTGCTTTTGGCAGAGATGTGGTAAAGGTGAATTTTAAAGTTTGTTGTGGAGTAATAATTCAGTAGTAGGCAGCTGTGTTTAAAAACTCTACCTTAGAATAAAATGAAGGAATTAAATCAATTGGAAATGGTGCTTCTAGAAGCCTGTGTTAATACATTACCAAGAGCTGGCGTTATAGAATAACTCTGGATTTCCTCAAGGAAACAAGGTTATCATGATTTGATGCATTTCTATGCCATTTTATTTTGATTGTTGGATGAAGTTGTCAAATGGGACTTGGGTCCATGAATACCTGATAAAAACAGAAGGAATATTTGTTGGACAAGGCTGTTCTATAAGATTATCGCTGTATTTGTGTGCCGGTGAATTTATAGCTAGGGAGGGAGGTGGCTGGGTATAAAGGCTACATATCAGATTAAGCAAAATGACTAGCAGAAAATTCTATTACTTTCAAACAGCTGCAAGGCACAGAAACAAAAACCCTCTCCGTTCTTAAAGGTACAGCTGCCTATATAATCCTGATTTGCTAATTATTTCTAGTGCCACACACTGTGGGTCTTAATCCCAGTTTTTTATAACTTGCATCCTTATGTATTCCAAAATACATCTTCAGTTATGCTATCCTCTAACATACAGTAACCTAAGCATTATTTTAACCCTCTCCATAATTTATTGGACAAGCTAAATTTAAACCTTCTTTCATTGCTTTGTCACAGGGATTTTAATCCATTGCCATTGAAAATTATTCTTTTAGATTTTTTAACTAACAGTTACAAAAGCCAAAAAACGGTCTAATCTGAGCAACAGGATTTCCTGTAAATTTCATTTCTGATTTTGAGTAAATCTTTTGAATTCCTTAAGTTTGCTGCAGAAAATGATTGACCTGCTTCTCCTTTTGAATTGCTTTTGAAAAAAGCAAGGCCACATAAAGATTAACATCACTGCTGTTTTGCTAAATCCTTTTTGATGTCTTAGAAAACTTTACACAACACTATTTGGCATGTCTGGAGCAAACAAATATCTACTCTGCCTACAAAACTCCATGCAGATAGCACCCCAGTAATTGAACCTAGGACCCTTATGAGGGCATAAATTCTGCTTTATGGCTCAGAGTCCTGGACCTTACTATCACGTGACATACAAAGACTCCGGTCCTTCCACATGCGGTACCAACGCCAGATTCTCCGTATTCGCTGGTCTGACTTCGTGCGGAACTCGGAGGTTGCTGCTCGCACGTACCAGCCCATCACAATCACTGTCGCCCGTCGATGACTTGCTCTCTTCGGCCACGCCGCACGTCTCGACAATTCCACCCCTGCCCATGGCGCCATAGCGTGCGCCGTTGCCCTCCGAACAGAGAGACACACTCCACCAGGCTGGAGGAGGCCACCGGGGCACCCACGTCTCACATGGGTTCAGCAGATCGGCTATATTAAAAGGAATGGAACCGTGCCACCGAACGTGGCCATATGAGATCGGTGTTACGGACCTCCATTGTCCAGGTGTTATGATTATGCACTTGTGAGGTAGCTGCAAAGCCTCATTGTTGCCCAATTTTTATACCGCTTTGTTTAAATGCCTATGATACTCCTCAAAGAATTACATGAAAATTAAATCAATTTTATCCTAACAGAATATCCAGATAATCTCTGTCATAATATTTAGATGTGCCAGGAAAAACACCAGTAAAGAAACCCACAAACTCCATATCATCCCATGTCCAGAACTGAATCCAGGGCCCCAGAACAGCAAGGCAGCAACATCAGCCACCGTTCCAACTCTTAGGGTTGAAGATTGACCTTTACTTCATCAGACTAGTTCTATTAATGGCTTGCCTTATAAATTTTGTTCTTCCATCAAAAAATCCTTTTTTCCTTTCGTTTCCTGCAGATTTTTCGATCAATTCCTGGCTTTCTTGTCGGCTCAGGCTTGCCAGCCACCTGAAGCTGAGGAGTCTTCTTAATCATCTGTCTTCCTCTGTAATTTGCTCTGTAATATTAAAAAAAATATTCATAAATCCTGTCCATACGAAGGTTCTAAAGCATTCCATTGACCAGTAGTTTAAAGAAGACTGTAGCATCAAAAGTGGATTTAGCTTGTGAGGTATTTAGAAGACATTCATATAAATATAAAAACACACATAGACATCAAACATTTAGATTACTTTGATTTCAAGGGAATTTGGTGAAGGTAATAAGAATATGATAAGAAATCACTGCTGTAGCACAGGGTTATAATGCAAAAGAACAATTTTGGACTTTTAAATGTCCTTGGGGACAATGATATTGTTGCACCTATTGGAAGGGGCTATTGATTTGTCTAAGAATTATGAGGCAATGGTCAACATCTAGTGAGTGCCAAGATTTGTAATTCTCTTGGGAGCTTCAAAGCAAGAAAGGATCTGATGTGGTTGCTAAGTTGTACAAAGGAAGTGTCTGGTTTACCCTAGATGATTAAGGTCTTGTTTAATCATTAAGAATCATCAATAGTCCAGGAACACAGAGACAGAGAGAAGGAGAAGGAAGGACAGAAAGACAGAAGGAGAATGAAGGGACAGTGGCAGGCAGGAAGACCTTATTCCAATCAGCTGTTAAGACCAGATTCAAGGTAGGTATTTGAATTTGTGAAGGAAGCTTGCTATTCTGTTGATTTTAGGAAAGTCTGATTTCCTGTATAAGGAATCCCTAAGTTAAAAATGGTCTCTCCTGGTTAATGAATGCATTTTTAGAATAGGGAGATAGTCTTTCCATTCACTTTTTGTAGCATCCAGATCTATAGAGAGATATAACTGTAGGTCATATTCTGTTTAGTTTAGAAGATGGGTTTATCTCTTTTTTGGCCTGTGCAGTTGTTATATAGGATTTGAATACTTGGTAGCATTCTGAGGTTTTTCTGGTTGGTCAGGGCATAGGCCTCCGAAGCACCTTGTTTGTAGAATATGTTGTCTGTTGTATTTTGTGTCGTGTGTTGTTAGTGTGTGTTATTGTCATTATTAAAAAATATTTGTTTAAAACCAATGTGCCTGATATCTATCTCTTTTCACCAAAGCTGCACCAGAGAACAAAGATCTCAGGTGCTTCTAATAGCATAGTACCATTCGCTTTGGTGTATTCTTGGCATGTCTGTTACAATTTGGCGGTTATGATTATTTATTCTAATTATTGGTTGTCAGGCTCAGTTTTTTCTGTAATTCTTTTTGTAGCCCCCTGTTTGTAACTATATTTCTAGTATGGGATATATATATATATCATACTAGATATTTTATTATAGATCTATGTACTGAAAATATTTATTAACAGAGAGAGGATGTTTATTTTACATAGGAGACAAAATTGGTGCCACAATGTAGTCTGTCATGTCAGTGACATGATGTTTTTGGGTACCTTTAAAAACGACAGCTTTTTCTCAAAAAAAGTAATTAGATTCACCTCTCCATGTTATGCAGTCAAGATGAATTAGTTTCTGAATCCGTAAAAGGCCACTTCCAGATAATTGCGGCATCACATTGGCAAAGGGTCCTTTAATTGATTTCTGAATTTCTTTCATGAGCGCCTTTGATTTCCAAGCAGTGTCGTTTAGGCGAGTGTCAAACTGCTTTATTTCTCTCTCCCACGCAAAGCCTGAGAAAGAGTAACGAGATGAGACAACAATTTGCAGCCAAGAGAAATTGTTTGTTCAAACAAATTACTCTGTCCTGCACATTTTGTCTAAGCCAGAGAGACTTTTTTCCCTTCATGCTCACACAGGCATTTCTAGAGCCTTGTTCTATGCAGACCAGCGTACAAAACTATGTGTCATATTAGCAGGGATCTTATGAGCTAGATATTTTAAATGATGAAAGAAATGAAAACTAGAGAGATGTTCACAGTGTAACTACAGTTCATAAATAGGTTACTTAATTAAGGACCTTATTTTTCAAAGAAACTGCAGTCTTTCTAATATCACATTATGAGTCAATTAGTACAACCTATATTGCAGTTTCCATCCCATTTAATATTTTTATTTTCAATCAAAATATTGGATAATTCTTTATTCTCCTTTATAGTTCCATTGGTTTTATGTATACTCTTATCACAATTGTACTATACACACAGAGAAAAGGAATCTGAAAGTACTGAAAAGGGCATTTTGGTAACAGATTAAAAGCAGAGCATGTCAATACGTTTTTGACCAAGTGTAAAAAAATAAACACTAAATTGTAGCGGGACCAAGAAGAAACATACATATACTAAACAGCAGAAGACTGAATTTGGAGTCCTGTAGAACACTTGATATAGCCTACTCATTCTGAGAGCTAAAACCATACAGAGAAATGAACTGTTAACTCTCTGCAAGAGGACACGAGGACATTGCCAGAGATGCCCAACACTTTATTACCTAAAAAATAAAATGTCATGACTTTCATTATCTAATGAATTACTGACACCTATGAAAATTCGGTACACCCAAATCCGAGGCTATGAGATCATTAGCAACTTTAACAAGAGCAGTTTCGGTGTAATGGGCAAAGTCAATCGCTCCCTTTTTTTTGGTTCTTCCTCTCAAACCACCTGTCTCCTCTTCCTGGAAAGATGACCACTATATCAGTAGCTTTAAAGTCTTAATAATACTGTAGATAATACAGTGGAAAGTGGCAGATTCAGCCATCTGTGGGTTCTTTTACAGCCAACTTGTGAAGGTCAATGGCCATTTTAACTGCAGTTTTCATGGAGTTCTTTGACCTTAACCACACTGATAGTACTACTGAATGTATTCCATATATTACCTCCTTTTTAAAGCCCAGGGGAATAAGGAAACCTTCAAAAGACTTTATAGTTCTTGAAGATTCCATTCCACTTCCAAAGAGCTGAATGCGTACTGTAGATACTGTGTTTTAGCTGATTTGTATTTAAAGGAATTTTTCATATTTTTCTTTTTTTTTCTTACTTTTATTGGAAGAGTGTTTTTCATATACAGTATTACGAGTGTCATCAAGCAACAAAAGTTTTGGCTTCATTGAAAATAATTTGTGAAAAAGAATGCTTTGTGTAATTAAAACGGTGTCATCTGAAAAGATCTTTCAGTCTTTTATGTCATATACTGTAGCTCTGTGTTTCTGATCAAACCATTTATTTAATGCAACTGTCCAGAGGACATGGAGAAACAACTGTCAAAACTACATAAAATACAATAGCTTCACCAAAATGTTTTCTTAGATAACACCTTTCTTACATGGGAGACGTGTGGTACAAAGTTAAGAAGCCTTAGATTTAAGAAAGCTTGCCTTCAGCATTATATAACCTTGAAACTAGTGAAAATCCTACTGTTTCTAAACAATTAAATAAAAATTGATTCAGGCAAAAAACTGATTTGGATTGATTTTTAGACAATGTAATTTATCTTAGAGTTAATACCAAAACAAAAACAGAAAAAATTGTTAAAAAGCTTGACTTAGTACTGAAAACCTTTATTTGATAAAACTGAGAAAGAAATTGAAATGTATTATTATTAAATAATAAAGGACAAACACAACAAAAAGGTAAAAATATAAAAAAAACATCTAATTTTACAATTTCTCTGATTCCATTATTGAGTTGAATCTCAATAATTCCGTAATACTAACATTACCTTCTGAAGGCTGCAACTCCAAGTATATGTATTTTCAAATATATTACTTATGTATTGGGAATATACTGTATAAACAATTTATCACAGTGAGACTTTTTTTTTCCAGAATGTAAACTTGTTAATTAATTTACTAAAGCTGTCATTTTGTCATGGGCGATTAAGTACTGAAACACAAACAAAGAACAGCATATGTTTTGGGAGTGAGAGGATATTTTGATATACAGTAGCACAAAATACAACAAACCCTGAGAGATTAAAAATAATAAAAGAAAACATTCCTTTAAAAAAAATCAAATCAGGATCTATTGTAAGATCCTGACCAAAGTGGCTCCTTGTTTGTCAAGTTTAAAAACTGAGATATTCAGAATGTTGTAATTATTACATTACAGTACACAAAGCCGACCTTTGTCAACAGCCTCATTTCCAGCACTGCCAAACATCCATAACTAGAAGCACAGACTCATTTCTTTGCAGTTTCTCAGGTCTAATTAAGTGCCCATTAATAGGTTTTAAGCAAAGAGCTATACAGTTACACTGCCATATTGTGATCCTGTCTTTGGATCTGTAACCACTACCAGACCACTAGACCAGAATCCTGGTCTCCTCTTAACTCTCATGTGCTTTGAAAAACCTCATCCCTTCCCTCTATGGCTTGTTGTGGCAATTTTGAGGAGAACCTTAATCCCCCGTTGTTGCATTTTTGCATCATTACACTTAGACTTTATAATATTTATAATTATGATTCAACTTTCCAACAGACTTGATGGCTATGCATTAAATAGCTTGATCAACCTAACTGTTACACTAATTAGAAGTCCATATAGTTTGAATTAAAGCATCTGCTACCAGGGAAATATTTTGGCTTAATCAGGTCCTAAAGAAACTGCTTCAAAGCCTAAGGATCAAAAAGCATAAGTTATGAAGTTTTAATGCTTGAGTTCACCCAGAGCAGAATATTTGCTAACCTCAGGATTTTCTGTTTCTAAATAATATTAGAATAAGCACAAATATCTAGGAAAATACTTATAATGTGTCTGTGTTTTAAGTGCTTCAAGTTTAATTGTTATCCTCTTTTCGTTTTCAGAGCATTATTTCAAGATGTGTACCTTCTCCATAGTTCAGCAGGCACACATGACATGAAAAAGAAAACTGCAATGAGACATGCCCTTAAATGGAAAATAGTGTGCCAACTGAGTGGAGACCTTTTGAGAAAGACTGGCTGTAATGTTCCAGTTTTCTTTCTTGCACCATTTGCAGAATAGTTGGGATCTGCTTTGCACTTAAAAGAATTTCTTCCATTTGCCAGGTGCTCCCACACATTACACCCAGGAGGTGAGAGATACAGTAGGATAAGTCTGGAAAGATCATC